TCAAGATCGACCGGTCATTGATTATCTTAATCAGCCAAAGACGGTCGATAAGGTTCAGTTGGCTGATCCTATTAAGCAAGAATATGGTAATGGCTTTAAGCGAATAGGTCGACCAATGTACAAAAAGCCAAAATCAGCCACATCCGACACTCAAACATCTACCATATCTGCCAAAAAGGGAGCAGATGATGAAGTCATGGAGGTCGACAATGATATTTTCATACCAGGTAGTCATGTGATCGGCCAGGCTCCCAAAAGGAAGGTTGATGAAGGGAATCAGCCTAAGGTTACCGAGAGTACACCATCAGCCATTCCGAGTGTCAAGGCTCTCATACAACACGATTGTTGCCCTGAATGGAAAGGTAAAAGAATTTCAGAATTAAATCGGCTAGATTACCAGAATGCTTGGCCGATTATGGTATATAATCCTCAGCCAGAACCATCATTGGCTGAGAGAATTCTTTTAGCTCGTCATCCTCAACCGAATTTCAAGAAAAGAAAGCGGGGATGGAAACTAAAAAGGGTTAAGTGGAGAAGAAATTCGCGGAAGAAAGTTTAAAAATTCAAGAGGATCAGCCATCAGAAAAGCTCTATACTGGCATAATGTTGTTCTTTTAATGGAGAAGCCAGTTAGATCGGCCCAAATAATATTACATAACAACTTGATCCCGGCCGATTACGATCATACCTTACTAGTAGAGTTGGGAAACTTCAATGGTGAGGTCTATCATGTATTTATAAATGGCCAATGTTTTGAGAGGTATCAGCCAGCTTTGTGGGAATAATAGAAGAACCAGGATCGGCCAGCCCTGGCTCTGGCCGACGCAAAATAAAGACCAACATAGAGGTGGTTCGGAAGAAATAAAATCTAGAAGCTCACTGGCTGCCAGTTTCTTTCATGTTATAAAAATTCCAAAAATCTAATCGGCCTGAGTGGCAGATAAGGCATTTGAAATTTGGGGGGCATTTGTTGGCACCAAAACTTGGCAGCCATCTCAGCGATGACGTGGACCAATGAAAAGCTGATAAGTATTTTTAACATGGGGTCAAGGGAATCAGCCAGTTAAGAAATATCAGGAGCAAGTATTGGAGAAAGTTACTCAGCCACTTCATTAACAAGGCAGTTGCTAAAATATAACAACAAACATTTGACTTTATTCAAGTTGGGTTATCAACAGGAAAGGAAAGACTAAAGTTTTAAGGAAATCAGACAACTGAATTCCTATTTTATAGGAATTCTAGTTGGATGGAACAAGGAAAAAATACAAAAGGCAGCCGCGTCATGAATATAAAAGCGATAAATGGCTTTTGGGCCATTTAAGGGAATGAAACGGGCTGCTAAACTTAAGGAGGGGAGTTGCTAAAAATTAGCAACTTTCTAGCAACGTTTTAGCAATATCTCGGCAACTTACATGTGATTAAATCGAGGAAGGTTGTTTTTATAGAGATTTCCTACTGAAACAAAACAAGAAAGGAAGCGGAATAACAATAGGATTTGACTGAGTTCAAATTGTGAAGAAAAATAATCAAAGAAGGAGAGATTTTCTAGCAATAACTTAGGAAAATAAGTTGAGATAGAACTTCTATAAATAGAAGTATTGTATTCCTATTCCAATTTGTCCAGCACCACCACAAAACATGCATTTCAACTAAAAAATATTTTCAATTGACTCTACGTCATTTTTTCCTATCAGTTTCTTTATTTCAATTTAATGGCAATTGATTAGATCATTGTCAACTATTTCAATTCAGCCATTTACTTTCTTTCAATTTCAATTATGCCAATTTAAATTACGCAATTTTAGTTAGGCTTTTAATTCAATGGCAATTGATTAAATTCTTGCCATTGAATCGTAGTGACAATTGATTAAATTCTTGTCATTACTTGGCTGATGGCAATTGATTAAATTCTTGCTATCACGTTTCAGTGGCGATCGATTAAATTCTTGCCATTGTGTTTGGCTGATGGCGATTGATTAAGTTCTCGCCATCACGATCGGCCGGCGATCGATTAAGTTCTTACCGCCTGTCTTCACTCGGCCTTTCCATCCATTCAAACATTCATCAGCCGTTGCATTTCTTTAGACACTCTAAAAAGTCCTTACTACAAACAAGGCATAAAAGAACCTTGCTGGGAGTTCTTACTAGTCTCTCTCCCACACAATCGCCTGAGAGTCAGCTATCGGAAAAAGGGATAGGCTGGTGTTCAATTACATATTTTGGGTATTTTGTACAAATACTCTGGCACGCCCGCGAAGAGTCCATCGACCGGCGTAGGAAACAAAAACCGCGCGAACAGTTACATTCTTTTCCACTCAAATTCGCAATGCCCTCGTTGCGGTCAGGCCACCTTGCCTATCCGAGTGGCTCACCTGGATGCCTTCCGGACCAGACGTTTGGCGTGGCACCGGATTAAGGACTGGATCTGGCTCTGATACCAACTGTAACAGATGAACGCTTCCCTATTTACCTAAAAGCTCAAACTATTAGATAGTGCTGCATACCCTACCCATTTATACCCAATCACTTTTTCATCCAATATAAAACAAATGACCCTTGTTACATTAGTGCATCAAATGAATTGTTTGGTAAGTCAATAAATTTTCAAAATAAAGAGCAGGCTCTGTTAACGACAAAACTAAGATCTCAACTCTCATAATTGAAAACAAAGACATTTCGAAATTTCGATATCATCCAGCATAAAAAAATAAAAAATAGAAAGTTTAAAAACTCACCAAATCCAACTGCTGTAAGTCAATTTTTTCTACTTGCCCAATGATCCATTAGTTACTTTGGAATATTAGAAATTGGAGAAGCCTTTTGGATTATTAAATTCTGGTGAAGCCTTTTAAAAAATATGAACCATGGATTATTAAAATGTCTTATCATACTCGATTCATTATTAATAATTCATGCTCATTTTTGTTTCCTTTGTTAATTAATTAACTTTAACGAGTCTTATCATAGCAAGTGTGATTCATATTACTTGGATACATTCGCACTTGATGCATTCACACTCGAAAAACTCACATTATGGACTCTTTAAACTGGACGTAATTTGGTACATCCTACAACGAAATGTATCATTAAAACCATTGTTTGGTGCATTTCTAAATCTAGGATTGATAAGTTTGAGATGTAGGGTTGATTCACTCCATCTAAAATTGAAAAAACTCTAAGCAGTACCGACACCTACTACTCACATATGCAGTGGGGCCCAACTACTCACATATACAACATGTTTTCCAACATACTGAAAATTATTAGGTAGTCTAGTACCACCACCACCTCAAATGTGGTCCAGTACGGTCACTTATAAGAAGTCATGTGTTAATTTTATTACTAAAAAATAAACTTCAACCTTTTCTTTTCAACCCGTTGGCAATGGCCACACTCTAAAAAAAAATAATAATAATAAATAAAATAAAATAAAAATTGAAAAACTCTAAAGTACCCAACTTTGTCGACTACTTACATATGTGATGAGATCACGTGTTGTGCAGCATGTGTGAGGAGTCATCATCATCATTTGATGTGATGAGTCCAACGACTCCCACCACATATTTGCTTAGGATTTTCAAACAAAATTAGAGGCCTTAGTTTAGTTTATAATAGTAGTTTTTCCTTATCATAGCAAACATGATTCATAGTCCTTGGATGCATTCACACTTGAAAAACTCACATTATGGACTCTTTAAACTGGACATAAGTTGGTACATCCTAGAACGAAATGTATCATTAAAACCATTGTTTGGTGCATTTTTAAAACTAGGATTAATAAATTTGAGATGTAGGCTTGATTCATTCCGTCTAAAATTGAAAAAAAAAAACTCTAAAAAGTATTGACACCAACTACTCACATACATAGTGAGACTCAAATACTCGACTTTGTCGACTACTTTACATATACGGTGAGACCATGTATTGTGCAGCATATGTGAGAAGTCATCATCATTTGATGTGATGAGTCCCCGACTCCCACCACATATTTGCGTAGAGTTGATTTTCAAACAAAATTAGAGGCCATGGTTTAGTTTTATAGTAGTAGTTTTCCCTTATCATAGCATACATGATTCATATTACTTGGATGCATTCACACTTGAAAAACTCACATTATGGACTCTTTAAACTGGACATAAGTTGTTACATCCTAGAACGAAATGTATCATTAAAACAATTGTTTGGTGCATTTTCAAAATTAGGATTAATAAGTTTGAGATATAGGCTTGATTCACTCCATCTAAAATTGAAAAAAAAACTTTAAAAAGTATTGACCCCAACTACTCACATATGTAGGGCAGTAGTAGGGTACTCACCTCAAATGTGGTCAGGTAACTTGTAAGAAATCGTGTGTTAATTTGATTAATAAAAAATACTTTTCAATATTTTCTTATCAACTCGTTGGCAATGACCACTCTTTAAAAAAATAAATAAATAAATAAAAATAAAAATAAAAATTTGGAAAACCTTAATGAACCTGGCTCCGTTGACTACTTACATATGTGATGGGACCGTATGTTATGCAGCATATGTAAGGAGTCATCATCATTTAATATAATAGATCCCACCACATATTTAGGTATGGTGGATGTTCAAACAAAATTAGCGGCCTTGTTTAGTTTTATAATAGTAGTTTTCCTTCTCTTTATTAATAAAATTTCAAAATTCTCTATGGAAAGGAGTTTAAAAGGGCCTTAATTCAGAGACTGGTGGTTGTAGTTAATGGAAAACTACTTCTTTTTACCTTTTTTTTTTTTTTTTTTTTCAAAAATTGTTTTAGAAAACTAAACCAAATATGCTCTAAATTGAAAAACTCTTAAGTACCTATTCCGTCGACTACTTACATATGTGGTGGGATCGTATGTTGTGTAGCATATGTGAGAACTCGTCATCATTTGATGTGATGGGTCCCACCACATATTTGCACAGGGCCGATGTTCAAAAAACACAAGAGGCCTTGGTTTAGTTTTATAATAGTAGTTTTCCGTTCTCATGATTAATAAATTTTTAAAATTCTCTATGGAAAGTAGTTAAAAAGGGGCCTAATTCAGAGACTGGATGTTGTAGTTCATGGAAAACTACTTCTTTTTGCCCTTTTTTTTTTCCCCCAAAAATTGTTTTAGAAAACTAAACCAAATATGCTTTTAAGTAAGGAACTAGAGAATAGTCTTGAAAAAAAAAAAAAAAGAAAAAAAAAAAAAAAAAAGGTGCAGATAACCATTTCAACAACTAAGAACCAAATTTGGCATCCTATCCTTCTTACTTAACCATCCTGGTTAGTGGTTACCCTATCTGATCTATAAATAAGGATCCTCATAGAGCAAATGTAGCAGAAAAAAACTCGAGTAAAAATGGGAGAGAAACAATATGAAGGCCATGTAGTAGTACTCCCTTATCCAAGCCAAGGCCACATAAATCCTCTCCTCCAATTTGCAAAGCGCTTAGCCTCCAATGGTGTCAAAGCTACACTAGCCACAACCCATTACACAGTCAAGTCCATTTGGGCACCAAACGTCGAGGTTGTGCCCATCTCTGATGGGTTCGACGAGGGTGGCTTTGCTCAGGCCGGAAATGAGGATGTGTACTTGAAGTCATTCAGAGCCAATGGCTCAAGAACTCTATCCGAACTCATTCAGAGGTACAAAAACTCTAGCTCCCCAGTCAATTGTGTCGTGTATGATTCGTTTTTTCCATGGGCTCTAGATGTTGCTAGGCAACATGGAATATATGGGGCATCATTCTTCACGAACTCAGCCACAGTATGTACCGTGTTTTGTCGCATACACAATGGTGCACTTACTCTCCCGGTGAAGATGGAGGACACGCCCCTGCTGCTACCCGGCCTGCCTCCATTCAACCTTCCTGACTTGCCCAGTTTTGTCAAGGCTCCTGAGAGCTACCCTGCTTACTTAGCAATGAAATTGAGCCAGTACTCCAACTTGGAAAAGGTTGATTGGATATTTAGCAACACCTTCGAGGAATTAGAAGGCGATGTAAGTACATGATCAATATCATTTCATTCAATTCTAAGTCCAACCCACAAAAATTTAGAGCCATAAATGTTTGATTAGCTTCTGAACATTGTATATTATTTATTGTCAGTAGTTCTAATGCTCAGTTTTTCATGTTCATGAAGGCTGCAAAAGGCGCATCAGAGCAGTGGCCAGCAAAGTTGATTGGCCCGATGGTGCCATCAGCCTACTTGGATGGCCGAATTGAAGGGGACAGAGGATATGGAGCAAGTCTGTGGAAGCCACTAAGCGACGAGTGCATCAAATGGCTAAAAACAAAGCCATTTGAGTCGGTGGTCTACGTTTCTTTTGGAAGCATGGTTTCATTGTCAGCAAAGCAGATGGAAGAGATCGCGTGGGGTTTGAACGGAAGCAATTTGCATTTCCTGTGGGTGGTGAAGGAGTCGGAGCGCCATAAGTTGCCGGATGAGTTCATAAACTCAACAAAAGAAAAGGGTCTCATTGTGACATGGTGCAACCAGCTAGAAATGCTGGCTCACAGAGCCGTTGGCTGCTTTGTGACGCATTGTGGCTGGAACTCAACACTTGAAGGGCTGAGCCTTGGCGTGCCGATGGTAGGAGTGCCACAGTGGGCAGACCAAATGACTGATGCTAAGTTTATAGAGGAGATATGGGGTGTGGGGGTCAGAGCTAAAGAGGATGAGAAGGGAATTGTGAGAAGAGAAGAGCTTGTGTGGTGTTTGGAGGAAGTGATGGAAGGGAAGAGAAGTGTTGAGATTAGGAGGAATGCCAGTAAATGGAGTGAGTTGGCTAAGGAAGCAGTTAGTGAAAGAGGGAGCTCAGACAAGTGCATTAGTGAATTTGTGGAGCATTTGAAGGGTTCTAAGAAGAAAGGGGAGGGAAGGTACCTAAATGGTCACACTTAGTGTTGGAAATAAGTTTTTCTGCATTTAAGAATTTGTCCTCTGTGGATTTTCTTTACTTCCATCTGTTATTGGGGATTTCTTTCTCTCCTTTTTATTTATTCTTTTTTTTTTTTTTTGTCTTTCTTTCCTGCTTTTTCATTTTTTTATTTAATGGGGTGGGGGTCTAGCGTATGTGCTTTTGTGGTATGTTGTTTTTGTAGGGAATTCTGAAGTTTCATTGTAGTGTGCATTTGTATAAAGCGAAGTTTGTTGACAAACTTCTGTTCCTTGGATTTTTCAATATATATATATATATATTTCCATTTCTCTCTCCTTTTATTTTTTAAATAAAGACTAAGGAATCCTTCTCTTTCCTATTGTTATATAATATGGGGTCCACCATATTTTTTACTTCTTCAATCTGCTGTAAAAGTGAAATAAACGTGTATGGTATGTAAATGCATTCGAATTTAATTTTAGAGAACGCTGTAGCCCAAACCAAAGGAAAAAAAAAAAAAAGTAAATATGAAGTATTACACTCAAATAAAGGCTATACAACTTTAATTTCATAAATAAATAAAAAAAAATACATGCAAAACTGTTTCTTGCACCATTGTACAACATTCTACCCATCAATACCAATTAGAAGACTTCAAAATTTAATAGAAAATGCCAACTACGATATCCAAACATATGTATCTTCCTGTAAATGAAGCTTAATTTACGAAAAACAGCTCTGTAATTTTTTTTTTTCACTCCATGTAGTTCTTCTGGTGATCCTTGACTTGGTCCTTGTGTTTCCATGGCTCAACATTGCGGCACTAGCGTTGTACAATATAGACTACTCGGACAAGTCTGCTGTCACATTCTATTTTCTGTCAGTCCTCACTAAATTATATCTGAAAAAGCCAGATCAATATATACATAAGAGTAAGGTAAATGGTTAGAAAGGAGAGTTCATGTGCAAGAAAAATGGGAGTTTAGTACAGTTTTCCGAGAAAACAAACAAACTGACTTAAAGTTTTAAGAGCAAATTACATAGACACCCCTTGAGGTTAGGCCATATTTCAGCTAAATGAAGATTTTGATTCTAACTTTCACTTACACCCCAATTTACTTTTTGCCTTTAACACATGCGAATTGACCCTTTTACTATCAAATTTTTAATACAAAATATATGTAATCTTAAATGACAAAAAAGCCCCTTTGTATTTACACACACCCACACACATACACACACTGTTTGTACACTAGAAATTATTGGGTAGTCCCGGGACCACCACGTCATCTATGGTCTCGAGCAATCCTAACCGTCCAACGCACAAATCAGCACCTTCTCACTCCTCTCCCGACCAATTTTTTGGGCAGAGCCACTCCTTCATTTTCTTCCTCATTAACATCCCCCACCACCACCAGCAATCTTGACCTCCTTTCTCTTTCTTTTGTCTCTCACCCAACCAACAAACCCATCTGTGGCCATCTCTCTTTCACCCACCTAACTAGCAAACCCATTTTTTTAATTAAAAATAAAAAATAAAAAAAAGAAACCCATTTCATCATCAATCTTTCTCACCCCCCAACCCAGCAAACCTAAAAAATTAATCCAAAACTTCAATTGGGGTTTTTACCAGAAACAAACAAATAATTAAAGCCCAACAAACAACTAATGCTCAATCTGAAACGCCTTAGCTGTGTCAACTCTTTGACACGAATTGGAATTTGGAAAAATAAACTCACGAGATATATTTCCATAGATACAGTGAGAGAGAGAGGGTGAATAATATGGTGAGGAAATGGGTTTGCTGCTTTAGGGGTAAGTGTGAGAGAATGATAACGAAATGGTTTTGCTGGTTAGGGGTGTGTATCTGTGAAAGAGAAAGAGAAAGAGAGTAAGGTAGGGATGTGGCTGAAATCGTTGATGTGGCGATGTGGGTGAAATCGTCAGAGGCGGGCTTGATGGGTGGAATCGTTGGTTGAATTTTACCAAAATCCCGATCGGCGATGTAGGTGTAATCATTGATGAAGAATCTGAAGAGGATTTCAAGCGTTGTAGAGAGAAAGTTGGGAGAGGAGAATTACGCCTGGAAAAAATACATCGAATACTTTCTCTCTATGCACTCTCACATCCCTGCAATCGTCTTAACCCATCTAATCTTCCTCCTCATAACTCTCGCCACTCTCTTCAACACCGTCACATTCGAGTCCAACTCAAACCGAGTCACAAAGTCTCAAACCACCTTCGCACAGTTCGGCGTCAAAGCCCTCCCTCACATCCTCCTCATCGGTCCCGATGCCCTCAACCACAACGATGATTCGCTTTAGATGGATGCCGAAGACTTCTCTCGCCTGGCCTAGTCTATGGCCGAATTCATTGAATCCAAAACCAAGCTCACCATCAGCCCTGAGGGAGGACGACGCGGCATCCTCCATCGCCGTCAGAGCAAGGGTCGGTGCACACAGAGAGAGAGATTGGAGGAGAGAGAAGATGGCTTATGTGTGAAGTATTTTGCTGACATGAATATTCCTCTCTCTCTCTCGTCGGCGTCGTGTATGTTGGGGGTAGTTTGGTCACAAAAGTAGTCAACACGAGGTCAAAAGGTAGCATAGTCATTTAATACCTCAAAAGTACTAACCCCACCAAAAACTGACATTTGGGGTGTAAGTGAAATGCTAAACTACAAATTCAAATATAAATGAAATTTAAAACCGAAATATTAATCTAGGTGAAATATGACTTAACCTCAGGGGGTGTGAGTGTAATTTGCCCAAGTTATAATAGATCATAATCCTCCCAAAAACTAGTATCCCACGGTGCAGATCCAACGGAACACAACATGCCACATTACTCACTTAACAAAACCAAATCATTTTATACTTCCAAAATTTCACCATTACAAGAAGTGAAATTTAAAAGAAAATCCGGTGAAAGGGTGCACCACAAAATACTATGAGTGTGCAAGAGAGGACTTAAGCCCAAAAAGTGTACTAGAGAAGACTTAAGTAAAAGTGGTGAAATTTCAAAGAAAATATAGTGAAAGGGTGCACCATAAAACACTACAAGAAAGAGTGTGCCAGAGAGAACTTAAGCCCAAAAGTGTCCAGGAGAACTTAAGCCAATGGTATGAAAATCCTTCACGAAGTTTAGCGATTCAACCATTTTTTGCTTTTTATTTTGTTTTTCTTCCATTAACTTTTCTATACATTGATTTGTTCATTGCTTAGTGTAATAGTTAAAACAGACAAGTTTGAGATTTGAAATTCAAGTTAAAATCACAGCTTTGTTAAAATAATATCAGGGGTTTATTTTTATCTTAGGGCTTACCCACTAAGTTCTAACATCTCATGTAGGTGGACACAATAATACATCTCTATATATGTGTGTGTGTGTGTGTATATATATGTATATATATACACTCTCCGCTGAGTGGAATTGTTTAATTCATTGTTTCAGGGTTTGTTTAATTCGTTGTTTATTATTTTTCTGTACAGAAAATGGTTTATTTCAAATTTGAGGAAAGGCTAGCTTGAATTTAAACTGAGCACAAGTTAATGTTGGACTAGCCAGAAAGAAGGAATTAAAATATTTGAAGCAATGCACTTGGAACCTAGGAATGACAATAAAAAAGTGGTTGACGTACCTGTTAGAATGTTTTATATATATATATATATATATATATACGAGTGTTGGGTCATTATGTATTTACAGATAGTTGATAGGGCCCTTGGGTTATTAAGTGAGACTTGTACCCTTTATATAAGCCTACATAGGCTTATTAGGTTATAGTGTGTTGAATATATACAAGACAGGGTCTCTATCTCTCTCTCTCTCATATGATTTTGAACATGGTATCAGAGCTACATGATCATGGGTGTGAGAGTCTGTAATTGGGTTGTTCTTGTATAAAATCGGAATCGCGATTCACGATTGTGGTGTTGGTGGTCTTTGCCGGCAGCTCCTCGTTCGTCGTCATCCGTAGCTCCTTGTTCACCGTCGTCAGATCTGCAGCGTCGTCACGTCGTCAGATCTGAAGCTTGTTCGTCGTCATCTCTGCCTTATTCGTCGTCGCCGGCCTCTTTGGTTGTTAGCGAGCTCGCCGACATCTGCCGTCTCGATTTGCAGAGGTGAGGTTCATCCTTTTTGGCCGGAAGTTGCAGAGATCGCTGCTTATTGATTCGACCGTTACTTGTGATTGGGTTGTCGTTGTCTCTGCGTTGTTCACCGGTGTCTGTGAAGGTGTGAAGAAGAAAACCCGTGTTTGGCCACACGGTTATGCTATTCCAACTCTGGTTTACTAAACCTGGGATAGCTATTCCAACCTTAGTTTACTAAACCTGGGATAGCCCAGATCCGGCCCGTTTGGCCAGATCCAAATCCGACCCGTTTGACCAGATCTGGCCCATTTGCCCAGATCCGACCCGTTTTCCAGGTTCGGCCAGAATACAGATTCTGCTATTTTTTTTTTTTTCTCTCTTCTCTGTTTTTGCTGGATTCAACATGGCGTCCAGTTCAGATTTGCTTTCTCCCACGAACAGCCTTCATTCTCCCATGACTTCAGTTAAACTCAATGGGAAGAATTACATACTGTGGGCTAAATCTGTTACCATTTTTCTCAAAGGCAGAGGTCTTGGTACTCACCTGACTAAAGATAAACTCAAGGCAACTAATACTAGTTTTGATGCATGGGAAAAGGAAGATGCTCAGATCATCTCTGTGATGATAAACAGTATTGAATCCCAAATCAGTTCAACTTTACTTTATTTGGATACTGCCAAGGAGATATGGGACAGATTGCAGCAATTGTATTCTGGGACAGGTAATATCACTCATGTTTATAAGCTCTGTAAGCAATACTTCAATCTTGAACAAGGTACTCACAGTATAGAAAAGTATTGTTCCAAAGTTATGGGAGTTTGTGAAGAGCTGAATATGTATCAGCCCATTATTGTTGATGTTCGAAGTATGCAACAACAGCGTGCGAACTTTAATGTTGTCCGTTTTCTTACTGGTTTATCATCAGCATATGAGCCTTTTCGTGCACAGATTATGGGCAGTCCAACACTTCCATCTCTTACTAAGGTGTTTTCTCGCCTTCAGCGTGCTACACTTGCAAGTGACACCTCAACTTTGAATACTGGACAGAATGGTGAGCGTTCAGCATTGGTAGTTTCAAAGGGTGAACATAATGCTTACCGTGGCGGTCGTGGGGGACGCTCCACACGTGGTGGTCATGATTCACGAGGAGGACGTGGCCATGGCAGGGAATCAAGAAAATGTACTCATTGTGGTCTTTCTAATCATTTTTTTGATAAGTAAGAAATAACATAAAAAAGGCGTTCAAAAGGGGAACGTATCCCAATTACAAAAGTGGAGCCGGGACTAAGGTCCCAGAGAATCCAAGAAAGTCTTTCTAATCATACTGTGAACTTTTGTTGGGACCTTCATGGGAAACCATCTAGTTATGCAAATCAAGTTTCCTCCTCTCCGAATGATGTTGCTTCTGGATCTCACAACGTAGCTGAATCAGATACGGTCCCTGTTCCACGGGATGAGTATACTCAGTTTTTGTCTTATAAGCAAGCATCTAATTCATCTTCCACGGCTACCTTTGCCCAGTCAGGTACTGCACACACATGTCTATTGTCTTCCACTCGCAGTCCTTGGATCATAGACACTGGAGCATCTGATCATATGACTGGATGTTCTTCTCTTCTGTCTGATTTTAATTCTATACCTCCTTCTCAAAGTGTTACTCTTGCTAATGGTTCATCCACTAAGGTTTCAGGTTTGGGGACAACTCAGCTTAGTGATTCCTTGTCTCTCTCGTCTGTTTTACATGTTCCTCAGTTTCCTTTTAATTTAATGTCTTTCAGTAAGCTTACTAAATCTCGCCAGTGCTCT